AAATGGACCCTTAGTGGTATTTCAGTCCATTTAACCTCATATTCGGCGTCACACTATATCATGCGGAAACGACACCTAACACGGGCCCCTGCAGTAAACGTTAAGAATTTGCGATTTAGGCCCTAATTTTCCAAAATGGCGGTGTCTAGGGCCTAAGTGGGAGGTCGTAGGTACTTGGATGTTGTTTTAATCGTTTTCTCTCGCAGAAATTATCCGGAAAAGTGTCCCGGAAGGCCTCTACGACAATTTTGAAATTTTTGTCAATTTCGGTTTAATTTTAAACAAATGCGTTAAAATCTCGGCTCCTATGGGTCAGATTTTGGTGACCGGCGGGTCAAATCGACCAACTGGGTCTAGGGAAAGTGTAAAAAAAATTCACGCCTTATATACATTTTGTAGTTTTGTTTTGTGTACCGCTTCGACTATAGATAAGAAGCAAATATACCAAGTTTGGGCACGATCGGGAATTTACACTTGCGTAAGTCCCCTTTAAGCTCTTATGGCGCCTCATAGGTAGGCAACATCTTGCTTGCATGGCTCGCGAGTACGGTGGGTGGCCTACCATGATTCTCGCAGGCGCCGAGTTCCAGTAATTTGCCGAAGGCCCCAACCAACTTACTAACTAAACTTAACGTCCATCCCATCTTCGTCTGACCCCCCCCCCCCCCTTCTCACCGGGAGCGCCTTCTAAATCTGCTAAAATAGGGTGAGAGGTGGTGGGAGAACGTTTCTTGGTCTTCGAGCTCTCCGATCGCCCGATCGCCCACTTGAAGTGGTCGGAGCTACCTCACCGGCCATGAAAATTTCTCATACTATAGTGGTATAGTGGGTATAGTCCAATCGCGGTTGTGTTGTGTTGTGTGGTATGGTTATTTCTGCCATTTCAAGGTTTTGGTTTTGTTTGAGTTAGGTGTCGACAGTGTTTCGTGATCAAATCCTTGAAATTACTCCAACCGTTTGTGGTATGTACCGTCTTTTCATATTCGATATCATAAAAATTACCCTTAACTGTTCTCAATTTTTTTTTTTTGAGAGGCACACATCATACTATATTGTTATTGAAGGTTAGGCGCAGCTGTCATTCATATGACTCACAAGTTTGGATGTCTTTACAGGCAATGGATTGGCTGTTTGGATCAAAACCTACTTTGAAAGAACAACAGCGAGAAAATGATCGTGCACTTCGCAAGGCCAACAGAGATATGGACCGCGAGAAAAGACATTTGGAGATGGAAGAGAAAAAACTAGAACAGGAGATCAAAAAAATGGCAAAGGAAGGTAACAAGGATGGTTGTGCCATTTTAGCAAAACAGCTAGTAAATTTAAGAAAGCAAAAGAGCCGCACTCTTGCTGCTAGTGGCAAAATCCAAAGTGTCGGGTACCATAACAAAGCTATGGGAGCAAACGTAAAACTAGCTGATGCAATGGGCACTACAGCAAAGACAATGTCAACTATGAACAACATTTTGAAACCGGAAAAAATTGCTGCTGATATGCGTGCATTCGGTGAAGCTAACATGAAAATGACTATGACTGATGAAATGATTAATGATACACTCGATGATATCATGGCTGGTTCTGATGAAGAAGAAGAAACTGATCAGGTTGTGCAACAGGTTTTGGATGAAATTGGTATTGAAATATCTGGTAAAATGGCAAGGGCTCCTGCCACCCATGATAAAATTGGGGAGACTTCAAAATCCAAGCTACCTACAGATGATGAAATTGAAGCTCAGTTGGCAAAACTACGAGCCTAAAATTATTTTATCTTTATTTGTCTGTTGGTGTATTACGGAAATGACAAACATAGTTTGTTATACAGTATAGCCTGCTTCTGTTTATAAAATCAAACTGCACAACAACAAAATGTTGTTGTTGTGTTTTTCCTCATGCGTAATTTTTTTAAATCTGTGATTTATTTTAGTTAAGAATTTTAATTCTTGATTAGTTCTGCTGTAACATTGTCAAAACTTCACGGCAGCTGGTCATTGAGTTTGAATCTAGTTCGTAGTTCATGGCAAGCTACCCATCTCACATTTTTCTTTCCCCTTGAGCCTCTCCAAATTCTCATTTGTTCCGACACTAGTCGTTCAGATTGGCTTGGAATGGGTTCCCCTCCGTTGTTCCCTTATCCCCTTTCATCCGGAAACCTCCATGATTCTGACCCAATTTGAATGATTTGTGGTAAAAATAGGAATCTGGACGGACTCCATATCATTCATTTGTGGAATTAACCCTAACTAATATTTTGATACAATTAAACTAGAAATTTGTAAATTTTTATCATCATAGCAAATAGCTCTATTCTTCTATAAATAATCAGGGTCATACCTACCGAAGAAGAGAGATAAAAACTACTTAACTCTCAAGAAGTTAGTTTTCACTTGAGGGTTAGATTATGTCAGTTTTGTGATAAGTATGGACTAGTCTTTTTATTGTGGGAGATGGAAGTTCTTAAGCACAATTGTAATTTTTAATTTTGTTTTCTATTTGATAACTCATTCTACAATAATTCTTTCTGAAGAAGGTCCATTTTGTACATTTAAAGAAAAGGAATTTCTAATAAACATTATTGCCTTTCAGTCTGGTTACAGTGTTTGTTTATTTCAGTGCAGGTGGAGCAATGTATACAGAGCCTAGAGCAATTGTCCAAGAGAAAATAACATAGTTTATTTAAATAAGTTTGTAAAATTTAGATGACATGCCTTTTGGGGCCTTAAGTGAGGTATCTCTATCACTCAAGCCTCCTGGCCAGCTTGCCACAGATTATCAAGAAAAAGATTTATTAACAAAATTTCTCACTTCATAGGTGGCCATAAATAAACCAGAAACATTAAAACAATTAAGTAGTACTGTGTATAAAGTATATGCTTGGCAAAGAGTGCTCACTTTTTTTATTAGTTTCTTTCTTTGATAAAATCTCATATTTTACACTAGTATAAAAATAACAGCCAGGGCTTTTCATACAAAATTATAAATTAGCACTGCCATGGAAGATTTTATTTGACACTAGGTGCATGATTCTTGTAGTTTTCAAGTGAGAGAGGCAACTAAATAATTCAGTAACAAGCTCAAAATTTATTCCTACACCATCACACATTGTTGGATGGTCAAGAGTAACGAGGAAATATACAAATAATAGCCTAGTGAAATACTGCACAAAAATACTTCTGAAAATGCAGAATAGGTGACAAAACAGAACATGCACTTTCTGCTTAAATGAAATATCCCCATTTTAAGTAGAACGTATTTTTCAGCTGAAGGCTGGTTGTAGCTCTTTTGATCTTACCACTAATAACAAAGATTTACATGATACTTATACCCTAATAGAAAACATAGAACTTGTTAAATGGACAATTCCAGAATTTAATATTCCGAGCCACCCTCAGGAATAACCAACATAAAGTTTTCAATGTTTTGTGAAGGTGCATCAAGTTTTTAAAGGTACATTGAACCTAACTTGGCACATTTACTGTCTGAAGAAGAAGAAACTTTTGTAGTCAGACTTTCTAAAAACCTCATGGAAAGTCTGTAATGAAACTACCAATTCATAGGTTTGGTAAAGAAAGGTACCCCTACCATCAGCACTTGTAGTATCCTGACATCATCACTGGTCATAAATTTGATATGGACGGAAACATGTTTAGAATTATAAAAGAATAGATCACGAATAAAAGGTTAAAACAGATGTTTGGTTTCCTCTCACAAGGAGGAATGGAGGCATATCTCTTGTGAGAACTTCAAGCCATGCCATATATAGAGATGCAGATACTATATTTTTTCGTGGCATTGGTAGTGTCCTAGAAAAAGAAATTTTTTAGAGTCTTTTATCATTTAAATCAGCAAAGACAAACGTATTGAACAATACACAATGATTAGGTACTTACATGACTACCAGGTTTGCATCACTTGAGTGTTCTAAAACAAGTTCACGCAAGCGAAGATGTCTATTTGTCTTGTCTTTCATTGCAAGAAGATCCGCCTCAGTGATACCTACAAAACAATTTATTATAGTAATGGTCACAGAAACTACAACTCCAATTGAAAGTGAGAGCACTTTTTTTTTAAAAAAAAAGTCATTGTCTTACCATTTGTGGTCTCATTTTCTTCATCTGATTCTGGAACTATGAAGGGAGATATTAAGTCTTCAAAGAATGACATGGTGGAGTCCTTCGGTTTCTTGGTGATATCCGGAATTAGCTTTAGGGCTGAATAATCAATACGAAATTTAGCCAACAGACTTGCCATGCTGTAACAGAATAATGAAGTGTAGAAATAATCCTCTTGCACTTTAACTTTGAATAAGCTTAGGCTTACAATACACCCTTACCTTCTTTGCTCATATTCTAGCTCAGCTTGTTTGTTGGCCAGTGTAAAGACTCTCAATTTACAATCAGACCAATTTCCTCGTGTTGTAATAATGTGAGGCAGTAAAAGTGTAAGACCTAAAGTTGTAGAAATTTTTCTATTAGTTATTTAAGACTCTGTTTAATAATAAAAAAACAACATGAAAGCACAAAACAGTTCATTGTCTTACCTCCATCATCATACAACCACCACACATCAATTGTTCCCTTTTTCTGTTTTCGCTGAAACCTTGTAATGCTATTTAAAACATCTTTTGGAAGGTCTGTGTCACCTTGACCTGCACCCCTGCATTAAAGTGAAAGAGGTCAATTCAGATGGTTAGGATTGAAAGGTTTTTTCATCACAAATAAAAAGAAACATTCTGCCCAGCCAAACCGTGAGGAGTTTTACGACAAGTCTACATTAATCGAATTTCGATCAAACCTTTCTGGGTGGGTGTCCAAGCAACAAACTTACTTGTAAAGGTCAGCTCGGGACTCTTGCTTCTTTCTCTCTTTCTTTGATCTGTCGTCATGCTCAGGGGTAGTATTTTGATCTGTGTCATCAGCATTTGGACTATCACTTACTCTGGATTTATTTAGGTTTGGTGTTGGAGGCGTAGATAGGTCACTAACACTACTTGCTGAAAAAAAATAAAAAGGGAAGGAGATGAATTTTCAGGGGTCTTCCAGAAGGGTTTTAATTTTTTTTTTAGATCAAACCTCTGGTTGATCTGATCAATCAAGCAATCAATATAATACATAAAACAAAATTAAAAAATTAGTGAATTTAAAAGCAGTACAATGAGTGCAAAACTCAACAGATATAGACAGACATGGAGTGCCTGAAGCTGAAGAATGAGAATCTAAAAAGATACATGCAGTTGGGTGTTCAAATAATAAATATCTCACCCATTCCCAGAAACCAAAGCCCTGAATAGAGAGAGACAGAACGTCAAAGTGTTGAAATTCCACAAATCATAGCAAAAGATGTCGGATCAGGGGTCTCATGCGCTTAGGGAAAGAATTAGAACTTGAGAACTGTAGAAACTTATTACTCATACCAGTAGAAAGTTGTGAGAACGACTGATTGTGGGGAATCGAGAGGGATTCCTGGGAGTTTTGCCGAGTTCGATTAAGATTTCCATTAGTACCCATTCCCACCGAAGAGGGCACTTGAGGTATGTTTCCATTCTGACGAGGTTCCTCGCCCCCTGACAGAATTTTAGAATAATCAAATCCTCCTTCAACTCTGAGAACTGCTACACCCATATGCAAATCCAAGGCTTTACTGTAAAAAGAATCAAAATTGATCAGCAATAATTACAGTGATTGCTCTTACTAGGTTTCATGCAATAAGTCTTTGCACTCACTGCATTGTGTTGAAATACATTAGTAAATCCTCTGAATCACAAGTCCGCCAATCATTTTTAAAACCCATCAGTAGGATATTGGGCCGCAACTTTCCAACACCTGAAGCTTGGATTAATGTTTTTGCACCTTCCTCAAAGGAAGAGTCATCCACTTGAGAGTAAAATGCCCTGATTTTATGAGCCTTAAGCCAACTGTGAGCTTTATATGACAGAGCATTTCTCACTCGTTGTGGAACAGAACTCTGAAAATGTTCAAAAATGTTTTTGCTGTATATTCTTTTTAGAGACTCTACCAACTTGACAAATTTCTAACAGCTAGATACCTTTATGATGTGCCCGCAAATAAGTAGAGATAAATTCTTTGTCATCAGAAAGGCAAAGTCAATCAGTGGAGGGCGATAATTTGGTATACCACTTAAAATCAATATTTGTGGACGATAGTTTTTGACATGATCCTCAACATAATTTAATTGTTGCACTGAGTTTAATGCATTTTTATATGTTTGAGCTTGTGTTGTAGATCCCCAGTTGACATCTGGAAATAAAAGCAAAGATAAATGTTAAAACACTTACAATTTTTTGAAATAACATAATGTTATTTATATTTCTGAGAATTTTCATTCTTAACAAACCAGGTTTTCTGTATTGAACTATCAAGTATAGAGCCAAGACAATGCCAAACGTAATAAGTGCAGTAGACCAGCTGATCAAAAACATCACAGCCACACATAATATAGAGCCCACGAGCGATAACCACATGTTGTAAAACTGAAAAGAAAAATCAGTGTTAGTATGAAGAAAAGGGCAAACTAGTTTGTACCTTTTGTACCATTACCATTACCATTATGTACCTTAAATGTGGGACGCCATCCAACAGGTTTTGCAAGAGATGCATGAAATGTACTGAAGTTGATCAAAGCATAAGCAGCAAGGAAAAAGTTTGATATAAGGGGTGCAATAGCATCCAGTTCACCTAGAATATAATAATAACAATTATTATTATAAAAACAAACTAAAATGCCTTTGTTCATGTTTCTGTAAACTCTGTTTGGATGGAACATTCTTCTTACCAATCAAGATGAAGGCTATAGCAATAAAGAAAGTAAGTACATAGCCACGCACAGGTTCTTGATTTTTGCCATAGCCTTTAGAGAACCAGAATATGTATGGATACAGCCTGTCTTTACAAAGAGCTTGAAAGACTTTAGGTGCAGATACAAGGCTAGCAAGAGCCGATGACAATGTTGCTGCAAAACAGCCTGCATATATAAGGGGTCCAAATGCTGACACCATCTCTACAACCTGGAAAATTTAATTCAGTGTAATCTGTTAGCATGGTGCATAAATTTGTAATAAATTTGAAAACAAGTAAGATTGCAAACCTGAAAGTTATTTTGAAGACCATAATCACATGTTCGATTTGCACAGTCAGTAAACGTATTGTTTAGGAGATCAGTTACATTTCCACTTGCATCCCGAACTACAACTGCACCAGCAACAATAGCCATCAGAATATATGTAATTGATGTTACAATAATTGACAGAATTGTTCCTTTCGGTATGGCCGTTTGGGGGTCCTACAGTGAAAATAGTCATTTATAAGACAATAATTCAAAACATATATATTTGTGTAAAATGACAAAAGAGGCAATTACCTTCAAGTCCCCGGAAATATTGGCACCAGCAAGGATTCCAGTGGCAGCAGGAAAAAATATTGCAAATACAGAGAAAAAATTGTGCTGTTCTCCTTTTTGATAGCGATAATCAGGTCCAACATTATTTGCAAATGTCTCGGCTAGAAGGAATAAATCGAAACTTAGAAAAGAAATGTGAAGAGAAATTGTCACTAGTTGTGCTGTGCATGATGCAAGTACCTGAAAATCCTACAAAGCCTCGAGCCTTGTCTTCATCCGTGGTGGGCCCAATTAAAGATCCAATAAAGAAATCCCCGATAGCAAGTAATAGAATGATCAACAAAACAAATTGAGCCTAAAACAAAACAGTACAATGAATAAATTGAGAATTTAGATGGTGATGTGATGGAACAGTGACAAGGACAACAAAATTGTCATAACAACTATTTGTACAAACCTTGGCTTCCCATTCCATGCCAATAACAACAACTCCTGTCAACAAGAGCATTGTAATAGAACCAACAATTCGGACGTCTTGAGTACCTCCATCAACTATAAATGTATCTAATGATTTCAGTAAGTCCCTCAAAGACTCACAAAATCCCACAACATACATGGCACAAGCTATCGCATTGGCTAGAGAAAATATTAGCCCAATTGATCCTCCGAATTCAGGTCCCAAAGACCGAGAGATCATGTAATAGGTTCCACCTGTAAAATTTGAGTTGAGAATGTTTTTAGTTGTGAATGTAAAAACAAAATGAAAGAGGTAAATACTTCCTCTATCCATTTCAAATCCACTTATAAGACATGGAAACATACCGCCCTTGATTTCTCCATTGGTACTGATAGCAGACATCGACATAGCAGTGATGATAGTGACAACAGATGCAGAGAGAATCAGTAACACTCCTTGTGCTAAGGAAATTATTCAAAATGAGTTCAATGCGCTTCTGAATTTTACCAAGTTCGTGCAAAGGGTGAAAATCTTACCAACACCCGCTTCTCCAACAACCCATGTTAGCCGAAGGAAAAGCATCACCCCCCAGATGTTCAAGAGGCATCTTATGAGAACTCCAACAATCCATCCAAACTTCACAACACCTTCTCCAGCAGTTGGAGGAACAGCTCCTTTCAGGGTAGCTCCTGCAGACTGTAACAATGTAAAATACATAATTTATTGGACAGAGTTTAGTAAGTATGTCCTTATTTCATAGGGTTGGGTGAAATAAAACATTTTCGAAGTTTAACAGCTGTGTAGAAGTTTCCTAAGTTTGCAAAGCAATATTTAAAACACGTTCCCTGCGGCATGACCACTTCGTGGTCACGCTCCCATGTTAAAGCATAGGGGCCAAAAATTAGCCGCAGGTAAACCTTAAATTGTTTTTACAGGCACGGCACACCTAGTGAGAAATTATTAATCCAAAATACATCAATTTGAGGAAAATTCGTCAAAATATCATCAAATTTTGGGACACATTTTCATCATTGACGTCAAATTGATGTATTGAAGGTTGATCATTTCTCATTGAGAGGCAGGTATATACTTGCATATTTGCATGGACCAAAGAAGAACTCTGAGGGTTGTTTA